TCTTGAGGATCAGAAAAATCTATACGAATGGCCACTTTGTGCTTTCTTGCGAGGTTTTGTACTCCAATTACGGTGGCTGAGCTATGATAGCAGGCGGCATTATCTTGTCTAAAGTTGACAGATATCAGTTCTGGCATTGCGCGCTTTAACTGGAAAATGACGTCATCTATTACTGCTATCACATACAAGCTGTCCTGGTTGCTTTTGTCGAACACGTGAACAAGAGTGAGGTTTTGTAGTTTGCCATCTACCTTTCTCATGGCTACACTGATGTGCCAAGAAATACCTCTTTTGCCGAACCAGTCGGCCTGGATTTCTCGGTATCTTCTGGGAATAAATTGCATTGCCCAATCCAAGATGACGAGTACTGAAATGTCATCCAGTTTGTCAAGAATATCTAACCGAGCCTGATCTTGGTTGACGGATCGTGGTAAATGGGCTTTCCACGCTTCGATATTCTTCTTTGCCTGGGTTACTATGAACTTCATTTCCTCTTTTTCTTCTAGGGGTATATCATCCTCGTGCAAAACTGACTCCATTTCGCGCACAGCAGCAGGAAACAGATTGCATCTGTCGCAGATTAGATCATGTTTATGCTTACAGGACTGCAAATAATCTGGATCACTGGCATGGCTTAAGGCATAGGGCCGACAATGATCAGGAATCCTTGAACTAGACGATATGTGCACCTGAAAGAAAAATATGGCGCTTATTATGATGGCGGACGAATTTGCATGCTGGATTGCAAACTATGCTCGGTTTACACTTCCAAGCTTTCTGTGATTAAATTTTTAAAAAGTCATTGATCAAAAAATTTCAAAGCAATCGCTTTCTTTAATGGGGGCTTAAGCCCAGGTCACACTACACAACGATAACGATACGATAACTTGAATACGCGCGCTGATTGGTCAAAAATTTATCGTTATCGTCCGACTGAAAAAAAAATCGCTCAGGTGAGCGATTTTAAAATCGTTATCGTTATCGTCTAACGATAATTTTATCATTTTCGTTGTTGTGTGGACACTAACACAATTTTTTTGACAATTATCGCGTGTTTACAATTTATCGTATCGTTATCGTTGTGTAGTGTGACCGGGCCTTTACACTACCAAATATTTTGATTAACATACACTTTGATCACAGAAGATTTGATTTGATTGATTAGGAAGATTAGTCACTAACCTTATAATCCCCTTTCAAGTAGCGCTTTGCCAGCTTCAGCTTTTTTGAAATTTCTTTCGACCATGACATTCCTCGTTGGTAGCGATCTCCAAGCTTCTCGACAACTTCTTGTAAATCATCAAAGGCCTTCGCCCCATCAGCAGAGAAATAGTCGAGCCCTTGAAGCGATTTGCGCATCGATGCTGAACACACTTTCAGTATCCTTAGATTGCTGCTTCGACTTAGAGGGGAGCTGTATCCGATTTCTGCGCAATAGCGCTCATACTGCTTTACGATCTGTTCTGGGATTGAGGTTCTTATTACATTTGGGATCTTGATTTCAGTACCAGAAGATAGTTTTAGAGTTTTTTCACCAAATGGTAAATCTTGGATAGCTCTTGAACTCGTTATGAACGCTAAGAAATGATCCAGCTGTTCAGGTGAGGCCCTCATTCGTGTTTGCCGTAGGTCACGTTGAGGAACTTCAGATCCTCTTCCATGAAGCAATCGATGGTGGCGTGCAATTGAAAACCGATAACGTGATATACCAGGGATCCACTTTTGAAGCGTTGTAAAGCTGACTTTGTCAGCCATGATTGACAGTATCTGTCTGCGGCTGCTCCAACAGTTTGCATTATCGTAACATTCGACCAAGACTTCCAAAAGTGTTGAATCCAAGTCACTTTCTCCGCCCATACTTCCTTCTTGCACGGCTCTTAATAGCTCTTCAGAATTTTCTGGTGCGATTTCTTCAAGTGTTGCGTGAATAACTTGCCTAGCTTTACGTAAATAGTGTCTTTTTGTACGATCTGCCGCTGCATGCCATGAAGTGTTCATCGCTGTCCTTATGGGGCTTACATCTCTAGAAGCAAGAAACACATTCAGCCTTTCTCGAGGCGTTGTGTTAGGGTCTTCCATCTGTGAGAGTTCAGAAACTGCTGAGGGGGGAAAAAACGTTGAATCCATTACATCAAGAGGTGTTTGAGGAACTGGGATAGTTTTGTGCATGGGTGTCTTGAACATTACTTCATCATCATCATCATCATCCTAAAAATTGTGAGATACCGTTATTTCTCTTATTCTTCGATCGACTCATCGGTCGTCTATACACCTATTCGTCCGTCGTCCGTCCGTCCGTTGGTGCACATCTGTATCTGGCTCGTTCACACCATGCCGCTACGAAACTCTGCCGGCAGAAAATTATCCCGTAGAGTTTCGTTCCGGTTTGGTGCGATAACTGTTTCGAGTTTTTTTCTTATTTGAAGTTTACCTTCATAGCTTCATTGCTTGTTTACCTTGTTTACATACAGCTCTTAGGGTTAGGCGTTCACACGGTGCCGAGACGGCAGAATTTTGCTGCGGTTTCAAACTCTTATGGTTATCGTTACGGTTTCATGTTTTTTCATACCGGTATCGTGTGAACTAAAAGTAAGAATTTCGTTTCGTTTTCAAACTTTGCGGACATCGTGTAAACGGGTGTCTAATATAAGAGACAGAGGTTCGTTACAGTATGTGGATTTTTAATTATTAATCTGCCGATAACATGGCTGCCTCTCACCATATCCTATTTGACATACCAATGTTGTTTGCTTCAACTGACTTTCTAGTTCATCGACATCTACTCTGCGAAGATTCTTCAAAAGATCTCTACATTTTCTGCATACTCCTGTGGAAAAAAGTGCTGCTCATTACATTTTATTAAATTGGGTTGTAATCCCCGAGCCGACGGCGCGAAGCGCCGTGCGAGGGTACTATTTCCCCCCGGCTATTTACACCCGAGGAAACGAAAGCATTAGCGAAGTCTAAGGTTCATCAAATATTGCGGGCGTGGCTCACCAACGATGTTTCGGTGGGTGGTCATCCTCACTGATCTCAAAATATTTGGCGGACTGTCATGAATAGCGAACACTGATCTAATTTAAAGTTTGCACTATAACGACTGCATGACGACAGCGAAATAGCAAACATTTCTTGATTTGATGATTGATAAATTTCTTGCAAATATATTTCATTTTTGCTCGCATTTTTGCAAGATTTTGTAAATTTCAAAAGCTCTCAGAAAGAAACGCCAAAAGAATCGGCTAAAAGAAGGGAGCCGACGTTAACGAAGGTAAGTTTGTTTTAAATATTGATTTTTTAATGGTTTTAAAACCCGACGGCCTTTGCGTATATGAAACAACTAAACAAGACAGTATATAATTTCAGACAGTGTGTCTTTAATATTGATTCCCTTTTTTATTATATTGAATTTTCAAATAAAAAAGAAAGCAAAGTTATTTGCATGCGAGAATTTGAAATCATTTTATTGCAAACTCAAAGTTTATCGATAAAGCCATTTAATTAATAAACGCAGTTTAGTTAGTTTTATAAAGAACACTTTAAAACATTTTGCGAAGCGTTTGTGGTTGAATTTTACCTTAAATTGAAGCTTATATTACGTATAATAACATACCTAACATATATATGTTGGTAAATTGATAATTTTGTAATTAAAAGTGATATTTTTAGGCAATGTTTCATTTGTAAGAATATTCTTAAAAATTATCGTGTTACCATATGACAACTACTTTAGATACTTCATGTTCGGAATTTGCAATGGTTTTGTGAGCAAGGCGAGGGTTGCTGCATGCATGCATGTATTTTCTAGTTTTAAATTATTTAGTTTTTATGTGATCACTTTACTTTGTAATTCAGAACTTTTACTGTAAATTTTGTGACGATTAAAACCGTGTACATATCTAATATCTATTTAAATGTGATCTACAGTCCGATCTGCGCATGTGCGCAAATGAGCCCACTTTTATGATACGAACAGTTTAACTATGTTTGAATTCTTGAAAAGCCTGATTGTTGTTTCTTGATCATTTATTATACTCTAGAAGCTTGAAAATATAAATAGTTGTCGAATAAAGCTCAATATTTTGGACACAAAAATGTAAACAAAGGCTTTGTTTACATACGGACTGTAGATCACCTTTAATTATGCATCAAAATCTGACAAAAAATTCTTACCTGAGCCACACTGAATAAACACGCCAGTCTTTCGTAACACATGTAGGGAGTCATATTTTCCCAACCCTCTTTCACCCTTGGGCCAACTTTTCTTATTTTTGTTACCGTGCTGTGACAAAACAGGTGGAACTCTGCATCTTATACTAGCTCCTCTTGTCCATCCTAAATCAAGTTTCCCGCGATGGAATGGGCATATTGTCATGTCGTTTATATCCTGTGGTATCTTAAATATCGCAGCTCGAGACAAGATCAAATCTACCTCATTTTCCGGTCCAGAAAACGCCAATGATCCCAAATGTTTTGCTATATCTCTTGAACAGGAAACTAGTGGAATGATTGTCACTACTTCTTTTTTATCTCGGCTATCTGAACCACATATTCCACCAATTATCGTCTTAAACGAACAACAAACCTCCATATCGCACTAAAGTACTGAACTTTATTTGATTATGCTGTAAAGTTGAGCATTAAAAAGATGAAATGGCAAAATATGGCAGATTATTATAAATTTCGCAACTTGTAATCAAACCCCGCCCAGTATTCTAAATTTAGAAATGTAATAAGTAATATGCAGTATTTACAATCAAAACAAAACATGGCAAGCGCGCTTTGAAATATTAAAGTGACCTGAAATTTACAACAATTGTATTAAAATGTGTGATATGCCATACAACGAACAAGATATCACGTAAATAAACCGAATAAATAATTAAACATGCATCGTACGGAATAACGGATGTCAAATATATTTACAAAATTTGGCCTCTTGTGCATGCAGACACGGCAGCTTGGTCGAATCGGCAAACAAATAAACCACATCGATGTATATCGAAAAACACTCATGAACATCTGGGTTTAGCAGTTTAACAGGTAAGAATCCTTAACAAAATGCATCATTTAAGGTTTTTAATGTGTTTTAGCTTCGTTTATGAGTTCATAATCCACACATAAACACTAGCATCTTGTATTTTGTTGAACGCCGCCAAATTAAATTAAATGTCAGAAATGAGTAAATTTGACCAAAGTTTGAGGAGCTACCACGTGAACGAAAATCGTTTGCCCAAAGATATTTTTATACCATTAGAAAGATAAACATATAAGTAATCGAGCATGGACGTTTCAAGCGACTGACAAGTTAAGCAGTTTTAAAATTCATATTTTTGTACGACATACTTTGAACGACTCGAAATATATGTCTAGCGAATAAAATTATATTGTTGTGTTATAACTGAACAATTGATCTTAAAGTCACACATGTTGTGCACAATGGAATATTTTCAAATTATTTGGGGTGTTTGAACCTCTAGCGTTTCTTATTTTTCGACCATCTGCCGCGAAGGTTGAGTAATAATTAACTGTCGTAATCGGCGTTTTTTGGTAGTGTTTGATAATTTAAATTTTCTCCGTTATAAAGCGATATTTGATCAAACCAACTATAAGGCAATTCTTGGGACACATTACCCTCGCTAACTTGAAAGTATAAGGGAAATCGATTTTTCAAGGTTTGCCGCGGATTTCAAATTTTGCGGGATGGTTACAGGCAGTCACTCTTAATAAAAAAACAGAAGAAAAAAACAATTAATGATTTGAAAACTGGAAGTGAGATCATTACCGGCGATGAAAACATATCGAACGCTTTTAACAATTTCTTTGTCGAAATAGGCCAACATCCCTCCATCGGATATTGATCCAACAGAATATGTACGACCTTGTATCACGGAATTTAATTTTACAGCAATCACAAAAACAGTTTTAGCTGTTACAATTGAACAAATTTACTCAAACAAAGCGCCTGGACTAGACAAAATCTCAAACAAACTTATTAAATTGGCTGAAAACGTTGTTTACGACACTATATTACATATATTCAATCTAATACTGGATACTGGCATTTTTCCGGAGGATCTGAAGCTTACAAGGGTAACCCCAATCCACAAAGAAGGAGATAATAATAATATATCATAATAATCATAATAATAACATAATTTGTGAACAACAATCGGGCTTTAGCCCAGGTCACTCAACTGAAACGGCACTTCTGTACTGCACTATTCAATGGCTATTAAATATGGATGAGGGACTAATTAATTGGGTCCTTTTCCTTGATTGTAAAAAAGCATTCGACACAGTGGAGCACTATATTCTCTTGCAAAAATGAAAAAAAATATGGAATAAAAGGCAGAGCACATAACTTATTAGGTCGTACTTGAGCAACCGCAAATAAGTCTGTATACTGAACAACTCTAAATCACAGCAAAAATCAGTACAGTGTGGAATACCACAAGGTTCAAATTTAGGACCATTGCTATTCTGCATTTACATAAACGATTTACCAAACTGTCTGAAACATACTCAAGCTTCTATGTTTGCCGCGATACGAACTTGACATGTACAGGATCTTCGGCAAACGAAATTGAATATAAATTAAACTTAGACTTATGTAATTGTGAATAGATGGTTAGGGCAAACAAACTAACACTGAACAACGGAAAAACCAAATTTATGTTGATAGCATCAGAAAGAAAATTAAACCAAATCCCTAACAATTTACAAATACTAGTAAATAATTCACTGATTCAGCAAGTAAAACAAAAGGAAGTTCTAGGCGTTATAATTGATCAGGAATTAAATTGGAAAGAACATATTGATGCGCAATGCAAGAAGCTTTCAAGTGCTATACAGTAGCTCTCTTGAGAAGAGCAAAGGCTTTTGTCTCACAAAGTGAATTAATTCGTATGTACAATACCCTAGTAATTCCATATTTTACATATTGGTCAAACGTTTGGTATGACGGAGATAATCGTACAAACACCAAAAAAATGTACAAAATGCAAAAAAGGGCAGCACGTATTATAACTAGCTCTAATTATGAAATAAGAACCAAGGATATCTTTAAAAGTTTTAAATGGATTCAGATTGAATTTACCGTGCAAAAAGGGAAATTCTAATGATATTCAAGGCTATCCTCTGTACTGCGCCGGAATACATTAATAATATGTTTAAATTCTGAAGGAATAGTACATACAATATATGAGAAGCAATAGATGCAAGCTCGCATTAGGCAAACCCAGTAGAAACTTTATGAAAAAAAGTTTCTCGTACCGGGGCGCTGTCGCCTGGAATAATTTACCAGATGACTTAACTAAGGCCATTGAGAAATTTTCAAACGGTCGTTTTAAAATTTGCTTGATAAATATTTTTATGAATTGAATGACGTTGTTTGAAATCTGCTCTAATTCCTCTTTTTAACGAGAATAAGGATTCGTTCTTAAAAATTTAACTAGAGTGCGTGTATTTGACGTTATTTTCATTGTATTTGTATATACCAAGGTGAGTTTGTAGTTTGAAAAGTTAACTTGTAAATAATTAATAAAACAACCCCTTGAAAAGCAGCCTCGGCTGAAGGGTTACCGTTGCTAAATAACTTTCTAATAATAATAATAATAATAATAATAATAATAATAATAATAATAATAATAATAATAATAATAATAATAATAATAATAATAATAATAATAATAATAATAATAATTATTATTATTATTATTATTATTATTATATATTATTATTATTATTATTATTAGGTCCTTTTCCTTGATTTTAAAAAAGCATTCGACACAGTCGACCACTATATTCTCTTGCCAAAATTTAAAAAATATGGAATAAAAGGGACAGCCCATAAACTTATTAGGTCGTATTTGAGCAACCGCAAACAAGTCTGTGTACTGAACAACTCTAAATCACAGCAAAAAACAGTACAGTGTGGAATACCACAAGGTTCAAATTTAGGACCATTGCTATTCTACATTTACATAAAAAATTTACCAAACTGTCTTAAACATACTCAAGCTTCTATGTTTGCCGCGATCTTTTAAGAGTGAGCTTTTAGAATACGGGAGTAATACTCCCTCTTGGGAAGGCTGTGCTAATGATCTGGTAGAATTATCATCAAACTTCAACTTCCAGGTAAATCTCGTTTAATTGAAAGATAGGGTACAGTCCGAACTGCGCATGCGTGCATAGGAGTCTCCTGCCGTGATACAAACACTTTAATTAGGTTTTTATTTATTTTATGTTGAAGCATGAAAATATAAATAGTTGTCGAACAAAGTTCAATATTTTGAATACCGAAATGTAAACAAGGGCTTTGTTTACATACGGACTGTACCCTACCTTTAATTTTCAATTTTAGCAAATCATTATGCATGTTCTTTAATGAGACTTTAAAGCACGCAGTGGCGTAATTAGCGGGTGTTTGGTTGTCCAGAGACAGGAGGGGGAATGCATGCCCCCCCAGGCAAAAATGACTATAAAATGTTTGCTAGTACATTTGGCAAATTGGCCCGAGCCTCAGGAAAAGAAGGTCAGAAAATTTGCAACTTGTAGCCCTCAAAAGCAGGAATTGTTGAAATTGTGAAATTTTGCCAATAATAATTTTGAATTTTTGTTATATATATATATATATATATATATATATATATATATATATATATATATATATATATATATATATATATATATATATATATATATATATACAGGGTGTATCAAAATAAACGCAATTCATCTTTTGTGCTTTATAACTTTCGAAATACTAATTCTAGTTAAACGCTTTTAGGCTTACTTCAAAGCCTGTTCTTTTCTCTTTCAAACAAACTATTATCCTTGTCTCCAATGCTAGTAATAATTGCACAGGAAAAGATTTAGTAAAACTTATCATTTTTAGTTGCTGTTTAATTATGCAAGTTTACTATGTTATTGTTTAGTCGGTTTAAATGTTAGAATTTTCTTCTTTAAACTTTAATGTTGTCGTCACTACATCTGGAAAACCACATAAGAACAAATTAAAAGTATTTTAAAAGAGACCAGGTTGTTTGAAAATCCTAAACGAATGCTAAAAATCGTCAAAACATTCTGGTGTCTGAGCCAGAATGTCATCGAATTGCGATGTAATGTAAACAGAAATTATAGCAAGTTGATGTCAGTCAGCTTAGATGGTCCAAGCCAAAATTATATCTCATTTGAAGTTTCAAACTGAGTTAAAAATAGTGGAAGAAAAGCCGTAATTATACTTATTGTTACCATCCATTTAATAAAATGCAACATTTTTTTGTTTTAATGAAAAAATCAGTTATTTTAATGAGAACGATTTGTTATTCCATCTCAATTTTTTTAATCTCCAATCGCAATAACGTAAAGTATTATTATCCGCGAACCAATGAGTCAAATTTAAGAAACAACCCACTGTTAGACAGCTGAATGGCTACGCTTTAAAATGAATGTAAACTTTAACGTTTTCGTCTATTATTTGTTTAGCAATTTACATTTCAATCGAGGATTGCGCTTTTTTTGATACACCCTGTATATATATATATATATATATATATATATATATATATATATATATGTATATATGCA